CTACGTCACCTTTAGATATGACTGACACTTCTTACACAATTAACGAAAACCAAAGGTATAAAAATGCAACAGATATACCGTGCTTGACAACCTTGCTGTCCGTAACATCTCTTTAATCAAAGACACCAAAACCCACTCAAACCAGAAGTCAGAAATGAAGGGATCCCAAAATACGTCTCGAAAACGGTCGTTGCAATGAGTAGTATATAATCCAAACTGATTGTTTTAAGACAGAAGCAGCACGGTGTATCTAAATATGATCTGTTGCGGATGTCTGACGAAGCTCCTTCAGCTAGGGCAGTGTCCAGTAAGACTTGTGAGGTCAGCATCAGTGTCTAAGACGTACAGCACTATTTATTTTGGGGATTTATTAGTTAGATGTACGGTCTACGTCGGTACTAGTACATCTTTTTATACTACTACAATAATAGGCCTATTCCTCAATTGTAGATTTTCCATGATGTAACTACCTAATCAATCAGGCCTTACATGAAAGTCACACTACCTGTACTGACTTGTCCCACATGACAGTAAGTTGTTGCCATAAAGACCTGATGAAGAATACATTTAAGCCGGGAAGGGAGCAATATATTTGTCATGAAAAGAAAGGGGTTACATAGTGGTGACCCCACCTACATGCCTGAGCCATGAAACTCCGATCAAGTGTTCCGTCATCCACCCTCTCTGGTGTAATCACTGTGTTACATGTTAATATGAATCTTCTCGGTTATCGTGTGTTCACCTTTAAGGATCATACGGTTGAGAACCAATACCACTACATATTTACCATTTCCGTTACATCACATGCAGATTACTAGGATTACCTAGGGATTTAAAATCACTGAGTTTCTCAGACCATTTCAAGTTTTGGGTAGTAATTATTTTCTTTTCTACTTTTATGACCAATATTCTTCATTAGTCTTTCACTAATCGGTGATTTAGTAGTGCACTGTTTTAAAGTTTTCAACTGTCCCATGGGTGGAACGCATAAACTTTTGCCTACATTTATTGAGGAGCCTATGAACCATGGTTTTATGTCATTGATGTGTTTATATGCCGATAAAAGTGATAAAAATAAGAGATAGCTAACTCCATAACTAATCCAAGGTCATACAACTTGTGTTTACTAGATCAACAAGAATTATTTCAGGATGGGGGGTGTATATAGGACGATTGAAGGCAACATGAAATTCGAAAATGCGTAACTACTTCCAGCTACTATAATGCATAAAAAGCAAATACATATCTTTTTGAAAGACTTTTTTCAATATAAGTAGTGTTTCAAAAACACTACATTAGGTGTTTTGCACTATCAGAATCTAATCAAGTGATTGTGCTTACGAAATAAATTATGACATCTGATGTCAAAGAATGTGACTGAATTTCGGAAAAGGACAATTAGAATGAATTTACAGAAACTTCTGACTAAATAATTCTTATTGGCAATCCTAAAATTCACAACACGTAGCTAAGTGAAATGGATAAATGATTTATTATCATTGATCAAGGCTATTCGCTAATACTAGCTGGATCGATATGAAGTACTAGGAACCGTCCGATCTTGGTAAATAAAAGCATAATTTCTCGAGATACTTTTCGAACAACATGAATTCTGAATTGAATAAGTCTCATTATTTGGATTCAGTCAGGTTTTAAAACACTGAGTATAATTCCATGCTAGTGTAGAACAGTTGAAGTCTTCTTATTTATGCCTAGATATCTAATACAATATGAATTTCCCTTCATGCCATAAACAGTAATATCATGACTACTCCTCATATTTATACATATGATATATGTACATAAATTGAAAGTAGTATAGTTTTTTATTGGATTGGATACTTTAGTATGCGCTTGTACATGGTCCGAAAGTCATAAAATGTAAGCTGTACACAGAAATTACACAATAAACTGGTGAATCAACTATTGAACTGTTACTGATATATGTTATCTTACACATGAACTATTTGAGATTCCATTAAAGAACTTGCAGTAATATAACTTTCATTCATACTTATGTTTATCAAATGAACAGTTTGGTTTATGATTATTCTGAATGCTCAAGGTCTGATATATTTTTTCCAGATCACAAGAAGTACAATTCTAGTCGTTTGTTATATTTTGTATTCAAATGACAACTTAGCTACTTATTCTAATGTTAGTAGCTAGAGTACGATTCATCCGTATATATTGGTTCAAGACTAAAGACCACTTTTTGTTCTTGTTTTGACTTTACGACTTTCTCCTTGCAATTAAGATTGATTTTCAAAATGAACTTGTGACTAAACCTGATCATTATAATCCAATTGTTTTCAGCTCAGGTTAATCAAACATTGATGAAGAGAAATGCAGAGAGACCAAATATTTCTTTTGTGAAAAAACAACCATTCTGTATAATAATGAAGCTGTAGATTGACATTATTTAGTAGAAATTTATTTCAGTCAAAAAGGCATTCGACCAGCCTAATGAGTGATCCCAAGATTGACAGTTACACTCTGTACGACTTTGATCTGTGGTTCAAGAACTAACCCTGGTTTCCAGACCTTAAATTTAGTAATTACTAAATAACCCGAAGAGTCACTTATCATACAGTTTCTTAAATATTTTTAACTATTTTTCATCATATATATGGTTTGTGTGGGCCTACTAAAATTATAAATGACAAAACCTTCCATTTATTTCCAGGCACAATTTTAAATAGTTTTTTTCTCATATATACTACTCATAAATATCTAACAGTAAAAAAGTAGCTCATTATTAGTAGTTTTATAAGTAAGAAGATAAATTATATTTAGGGAAAAATCCTTTTAGAAAAATATCTTTAAAAATGTCTCAATAACGATAACCAAATATAATTACATCAAATTATGGGTTATCTCATTATTAATCTCTCTAAAATGTATATTTATTAAATATCCCATGATGAATAATGAGAACACAATGAAGTAGAAAGATAATAACAGTGAAAATAGGTCATGTGTTAATATTCAATCTGGGAAACAATCATTATAATTATTATGAAACAGGAATGATTTAAAAATAGACATTTTGAATTAGGATGACTAAAACAACTAGAATATAACATACTTTTACTAAACTCAAGTCTTTCTTAAAAAAAAATCTGTTTGTTTATTCATATGGTTAGGGTTTCTCTTACCCAGCAATAACAATGTGATGTATGCAATAGAATAAATGATGAGTTTTCACTGACCACATACTATAAACAGTGAACAGTCTTTTAGTTACTGACGTTTGAATTCTCATTAAATGTATGGAATAAAAAATAGAAAGCATAAACCAGTTGCCACTATATATATATATATATATATATATATATATATATATATCGTTAGAACGGGAGACTATGGCCTTAATATGTGACTGTCGATTATGCAATCGATTACCTAAACTGATATGGTTAGCGTGACCGAGTCACTGGCATTCACAAAATTTGAATAACTGACCCAAATTTTCAAATGGAAGAACATCAGAAAACAGAAAGACTTGTCAGCAATGATGAAACATTTATGTACCAAATATTTGCACAAAAATAAAAGTGATCAAAATTTATTTCAAACATAAATTTTTGTTGGATCCGTATTTCATAGATCATTTGCCAACTAGTACGATTGAGACTTACAAAATGTTAATTCGGGACCCATATAAAGTTGTGGATATACTTTGTTGTGGTTTTCCAAACAATGATGGAAAATTTGTCTATTGCATCTAGGTTTCTAATGGTTTACCGACTAATATAATTTCAAATATTTCCAGAACTATATGAATGTTTACAAACTATCTAGATAAATAACTACGAGTACAAACCTTTGACTTTTGCATTCAAAAAGAGTTTGTATTTAACCCTTAATTGTGTTGGTAACAAAAAAAACGAATAGTGTTAAGAACTTACTTTCCATATTTCAGGAAGTCTTGATTACTATTGAATTATTTCAACCTATTTATCTATTTTATTTTGTCATATTATTTAATAGTGTTCTGAAACTATCACAATAATTAATGACAAAAACCCCTAAGAAAAAACTCATTAGAAATTCGCAATTTGAAAATCTTTTTACTGATCGCTGATGTTAACTTATTCCTTTTACATATCATATTTATGTCGTGAACTGTATAAACCTATCAGCTTATATGTAGCTGAAAAGAAAGCAACGATACATAGTAAATTCATTGTATTCTGAAAATATTGTTGTTTCTGCTTTATTTAACTTGGTTGAAATTCTAAAGTTATTCAAATAATTAGTAGTGAGTAGATGTTTGTCTTTTTACTCCTAACACTGAGTTAATCAGTCAAAAGTAGTTAAAGGAAAATGTAATGCAACAAGCCATCAAATAGCAGAGATGGATAGTGGCTAGCAGTGGAATCCAGGACGCGCGTTTCGTCCCATTTGGGACTCATCAGCTGGATGTACCTGAATCTCAGACTTGTTGATGTTCACTCTGGGACTCGAACCCAGTACCCTGACTTCAAACGCCATCGCGTTATCCACTCGGCCACTGAGTCCTGATAGCCACTTGCTTGTGCAATGGGGTGAAGTTTGAATTCATTTGGTATTACTTGTTTGAATCTTCCCATTGATGTTTAGGACTATATTATGTATGTATTCATTATTCAATAATCCATTCCACAGTGTTTATACTCATCTGTTTAATTATAAATATTTTTCTGTAACACAAATAAAAGATAGTATTTAATTATACATTGTAACCTGACTGGCAAAAATCACTTCCATTCATTTTCAATCTATAAGCCTAACTGTTGAAAAGCTCAATAATTAGCTATCATTTTGATTAAGTGAGGGAAGAGATAAAAATTAAATTAAAGGGGAACAGAATTTATGCTTTTACCATTATAAATGAATAACGACCAGATGAATATTTTTGTATCTACCTATCACAGTTTAAATTATAAACTGGATAGAATATATGTCCTCGCCTAGTTATCACTATTATTCATAGTTAAAAATAAGGTGGAGAAATAATAACCAATGAGCTCATGATCCGTACTAATCTAACTTTTTAATAATTATATTAAATTACTGAAAATGTCTAGTTAGTTAATTTTTCATTTTTGTTCATAACTTTCGGGAACTGAAGTAATTTAGTTGAAAAGAATTATAATTCTCAGAAGTTACTATCATTCTTATAAAAAAAGATGTATACAGATGATGGATGTTGGATACAAACTAATGAAGATGCATCGGTTCACCTTCGTCCATCTCCTCATCACCATTTTCATAACCTTTGGATTACCGATTCAACTTCAAAACAATATTCACCTACTTCATTTAATATTTCATCGACTTATTCATCTAGTTCATCACCAGTACCAGATCCTTCATTTCTTACTGACAACATAACAAATACTTCTGTTATATTAGACAGTCAATATAATCCATATTTCAATAATACTGGAAATTTGCATGTACCATATAGGTACATGTGGGATAAAGAAGATGATTATTATTTATATACATCCAAGTAAGTCTTAACTTCATCTTTGAGACATACCAGATTCATTTTCTGGAAGGTATAGATGACTGAGTTTAATATCGAAAAGAATAAATACATTTGATAATAAGCTTTAGAGGGTTCTCCGTAGAAATATAAGTAAATGTTACTGAATGAATGGTGCCCATGTGAAAACTTGTCAAAATTTACATTATTCTTTAAAAATCGAACTATCAAAAAGCTAAAACGATTAAGACTGGACTGTTTGATTATCTGTTATTCACAAAAAGTTGATCCCTAGTTCGTATGCTTCAGAACTTCAGTTATTGAGTAGGAAAAATATCGATTTTATTCTCAAACAGTTTGTTAGTATAGTCGGCCCTCATAATAGTGACATAATTCTCCATTTCCAAATTTTACTGACCTAAACCTCAGTTTCGGAATACATGTCAAATAACATTTTATGCATATAAGTATATTTTGTTAAGTCCATTGATTTTATCTTTGCTACGAAACCTGATGATTTTTTATTGGAATATTTTTCTCAAATTTGTATCAGTTGGAAACAGTTTATATAACACACAGATCAATTAAAGAATAAGTGAAAAGCAAGAAGCATGGGATGAGTGTTTCTTTGTCATTCAGGACTTCTCAAAAGTGTTTGCCCATTATTATACAAAAGATTTTGTTAATTAATAATCGAATTCTTATGAATGAATCGCTTCGAAATAGATTTAAGTTCTAGTGAGATCCTTTGAAGTTAATCAAATTTAAGATGAAGTAGGAAATAATTAATGACATGAGGAATGTGAAACAAAGTAGATTGGTAAATTCCGGAACTGTGTGTATTGAATTTATACCCAGGGGTTTAAAGTTACGATGTTCTTTGAGATAGCCAAAAATAGTCTCTTGGTTGGTGCTCACTTCCGAGAAGTCATGAATTAGGATAAAAACAACTTCCTAGTCCTCCCTGATCTGTATTAACATTTCAACTAAACACAGTTGATACAGAAAGCTATCTAGAGAAACAAATATAAAAATTTATAGTTAAGATCATGAGTCAATTGAAACTAGACCACCGTGGTAAACCTGGAAACACTGGACGGCCGTTCCGCCCTATTATGGGACTCCTCAGCAGTGTGCATCCACGAACCCGCTCTCGCGAGATTCGAACCCAGGACATGGATTAGCTCCACTGGCCACGACTTCTCACTAGAACTCCAGGAAGTCAGTCACTAGTGAGCATATGATCATTATCACAAGGGGTCAGGTAGAGACAGGTATCTACCTCAGTACATTGGAAGTTGGTTGCGCAATTTCGTGGATTGGTTGAGGTTAGACATTAACACCATTGGATGCCAGCTCAGTGGTCTATCGGTTAAGGGCTCTGGCTCGAGACTGGTAGGTGCTGGGTTCGAATCTCGCGAAAGCGGGTTCGTGGATGCGCACTGCTGAGGAGTCCCGCAATAGGACGAAACGGCCGCCCAGTGCTTCCAGGTTTTCCACGGTGATCTAGCTTCAATTGGTTCATGATCTTAACTATAAAATTACTAAATCTCCACAAAAAAAACCCTTGTGTATAAAAAATTAATTATATTTCTGATATCATTTGATATAGTTACTTACATAAACCACTGACTATGTATTAGTTTTAATAAATAACCATTTCAGATACTTTCATCTTAATAATTTACTTGATCTAGTAAATAACCTGATTAGAAGAACGTTCGTTAGTTCGTGATTTCCATTGTCATAAATCAATATTTTTGAATTACATGAAATTAAAGGTGAACCTTATTTAATATGATATTACGCGAAGTTTATAAACTTGGGTAAATGATTGAAAATTTGTAAAATCTTTTACGTTGGTTTTCTTATAACTTGGAACAATTCTCAGATGTTTTAAGAATTCAAAATGATGTTAATTCAATTCCGAAAACATGACACAGAATGGTAGGTCCTGGGTTCGAATCTAGAGATGCGGGATGTGCACTGTTGAGGAGTCCCACAACAGGACGAAACGGTCGCCCAATGCTTCCAGGTTTTCCATGGTGGTCTAACTTCAACTGACTCATGATTTCAACTATACATAAAAAAATTACTAAAACTCTCCACAAACAACCCAAAATATACCAAAAAATCTGAAATACATTATCAATTTATTTATACTATACGCGAGAAAATAATAATAATGATAAAGACGTTCTTGATGGATACTACTATGATTGCAACAAAAATAGTTTCATTTACCATAATAAATAGTACTCCTCTTAAGTAATAAATTTAAAGTACCACCTATTAAGAATTTCAATTTAGTAACATTATCAAATTGCTTGGGTAAATATTTGTTTCATGTTGATAAACTTTTGAATTGGAAGAAGATAGCTATATCAAAAAAAACTAACTAATCTCAAAAATATATAAGAACTTTCTTCTAAATTGGAGCGAATAGTTTCACAGTATTTGAGTGCCGAGTTGAAAGCTTGGACCGGATTACCAGGCGAAACGTTGGATATATACTTCAAATTCATTCGCTAAGATTTTACAAGTATATTATTCCTAATTAACAACTAATCTCAACTTTGATCTTCTGTAATCATTTAACTTTCCTTAATATAGAATATAGTACAAACATTACAGATGAAACATCACTAGTGAATGTATTCAGATTGTATGATTGTTAGAAAGATTATAAGATGAAACGAACTTATACTTCATATTATCATCAACTTTATAATTTTCCTAGAACTCTATCATAAACCAGAGTTTCATACCCAAACTTTTAGGTTTTTCATTCAGAGATTTCATTATCAGCTTCCAACTCAGATGATATATTTTATTGAACTACCAAACCAGATTACCAGTAATTCTTTAATTTTCAGCAATTATTTAATTTTTCTTTTCTTAGTCATAGTCATTACAAGTAAACAAAAGGATTACCAAATCTAAATTAAATTGCTTTTTTTATTACCAACAGACTAACCCTCCATAACTTAGTGTATTAATAAATTATTTAGATAAAACAGGTTTCAATAAAACTATAATTCAAGTTTACTTATATAAATATTGCTTAGAGACCTTGAATGATATGGCTCAAAATCGTTTGCAATGGCGAAGGTGCATCCACTCTTTGTGTTTTACCAAATTCTAACCTTCTGAATTCTTCATGTCTCTATCTTTTTTCTCTTTCCAAATTTATTTCACTGGATTATACTCCTTCAATAACATCTTCAAACCCTAATCTTTCACATTAATGCATATACTCTTACTACTTTTACCACCAAAGGATTTGAATCGACAGTTGTATCTCTGTGTTAATGTGGTATGGCAACTCAAACTGATGTACGTAAGTACGAAGTTCTACGTTGTGACTGACTGACTGACTGATTGGATAAATTAATAACATGTTGTCCAAACATTTACAATTAGCATAGGTACTTTTAGAATCAAACTCTTGAATACTAGTATACAATGATTGTTTCTTGAATAATTTTTAAGGTTACACACTCAATATACTTCAAAAGATTCTAATGATTTTTATGTAGTTTTATTGAATCATTGTGAAGATTTATACTGATTCAAGTTTCTACACTTAAAATTGTGTAAAACTTCAAAACAAAACAAAAATTGATCGTAATATTAAATTAGCTGGAGAAAGTAGCCTGAAAACGTTAAGATGTCGTCAATGTTACACCTTAGTCTGCAGTCTTTAAAACTTGAGAAATAGTCAAATATACATTTATAACCGGATTTTTTTGTGTAAGTCATGATATTGAATTACTTGTCAATGTGACTTTGTAAAATTCTTTTTTGAGATCTCATGAATAAAGTACTCAATAATTACTAAAAAACATTTTATATTTTTACTTAGTAATCTCTAATTGAACTGCTAAACTTCCTGTCTATAAGTGATAGTCAAACACTGTCATAACTATTATGTATTCATGACTTGGCTTTCAAAAATAGTTGTTATCCTTTTTATGATTACGTCTACTTGACTTAAAATTCAATTTTGATTTTGAAGAAAATATAACAAACTACATTCTTTGATCAGTGATGTTTTGAGTATTTCATTTATTTCATCTCAGAATCTATATGATACAATTAAGCTTGTTGTAGCATTTTTATGACTTTCTAGCTATTATATAGTTGAGATCATGAGTCAATTGAAGCTGGACCACCATGGAAAACCTGAAAGCACTGAACGGTCGTTTCGTCCTATTGCGGGACTCCTCAGCAGTGAGCATCCACAGTGCCGCATAGCGAGATTCAAACCCAGGACCTAACAGTCTCGCACGCGAGCGCTTAACCTCTAGAACCACTAAGCTGGCATCTAACCGGCATCCAACCGGCATCCATCATTAATTATCAAATTAAATCATAGATACATGTTTTCTTTAAGGCATTATAATTCAATTCTTAGGTATAATAATAATGAGTTAAATAGTCTTGTATCTACTCGAATATAAACAATTCTATGATTCAATCAGTCATCACTCTTCATTTTATGATTAAATTTATTTTGTCCTTTCATTTTTAACTTAATTGATAAAATCCCAATTCATATCAAAAACTTTGTATAGATAATTATAAGTTATACAACAAACTCTTGGGAAATAATAATAATATTTACAACGAATCAAACTGTTATTATTATTGTTTTGGCCACACCGAAATTCATATTCAAAATCTCTGCTTTCCAAGTTATTATTTTATGCAATATTGTTATACACGTATCACAGAACAGAGAGAAAGTAATTCATAGAAAAAGACAAAATATTTAGACATGCTTACATGAGCAGCAATGAATGAAGAGTAGAAATATGTATGCAAATATGCAAACATATACATTCTCAAGGCCTAAGTGACTAGAGGAGATGATAATTCTTTAAAATAACTGAGTAAGCAGTGATTAGCTACGAAAAAAGAACGATAAGTTGATGCATTTCATCAACTTTTAGACACTATAATCAAATTATATATATATCGAGTCACGAAATGATTGTTGACTATTTATTGACTTACTACTG